TCCTACAATGGCCTCTACGTGTTCAAGTGAAAGGAAGAGTTACACATCTCTAAATTTAAGTCAAAAGCTAGAAATGATTAAGCTTAATGAGGAAAGCATGTTGAAAGCTGAGACAGGCCGAAAGCGAGGTCTCTTGTGCCAAACATTTAGCTAAGTTGTAAATGCAAAGCAAAAGTTCTTGGAGGAAATCAAAAGTGCTACTCAGTGAACACATGAATGATAAGAAAGCTGAGCAGCCTTGCTGACAGGGAGAAAGTTTTAGTGATCTGGATAGGAGATCAAACCAGCCATAACATTCCCTTAAGCCAGAGCCTAATCCTGAGCAAGGCCCTAATTCTCTTCTATTTTGTGAGGAAGCTGCAGAAGAAAAGTTTGAAGCTAGCATAGATTGTTCCATGAAGTTTAAGGAAAGATGCTGTCTCCATAACATAAAAATGCAGGGCGAAACAGCAAGTGCTGAAATAGAAGCTACAGCAAGTTATCCAGAAGATCTAGCAAAGATCATTGATCAAGATACGAAACAACAGATTTTCAATGTAGATGAAACAGCCTTATATTGGAAGAAGATTTCATCTAGGACCTTCATAGCTAGAGAGAAGTCAGTGCCTGGCTTCAAAGTTTCAAAGGACAGGCTGACTCTCTTGTTAGGGGCTAATGCAGCTGATGACTAAGTTGAAGCCATTGCTCATTTACCATTCTGAAAATCCTAGGGCCTCCAAGAATTATGCTAAATTTACTCTGCCTGTGCTCTATAGATGGAATAACAAAGCCTAGATGACAGCACAACTGTTTACAGGGTGGTTTATGGAATATTTTAAGCCAATTGTTGAGACTTAAACTGTTAAAAAACAAAACAAAACAACACAAATGAAGACTGAGGCAGGAGGGAGGATCCTTTGAGCCCAGGAGTTCGAGATTGCAGTGAGCTATGATCGTGCCACTGCACTCCAGCCTGGGTGAAAGAACTAGATGCTGTCTCAAAAAAAAAAAAAAAATTCCTTTAAAAATATTACTTCTCCTTTACAATGCACCTGTTCACCCAAGAGCTCTGATGGAGATGTACAAGGAGATTAATGTTGTTTTCATGCCTGCTAACACAACATCTGTTCTTCAGCCCATAATGAATCAAGGAGTACTTTTAACTTTCAAGTCTTATTATTTAAGAAATACATTTCATAAGGATATAATTGTCATAAGTAGTACTTCCTCTACTGGATCTGGGCAAAGTAAATTGAAGACCATTTGGAATTCAAACCTTTGGATTTACCATTATAGATGCCAGAGAGCTGCGATCCCCAATCCCTGGGCTGTGGACTGGTAAGGGTAGCAGAGCTCTGCCACACCCCCATCCCAGGTTAGGGGGATCCTCCTCACCCCCACTGCACAACAGGAGGTAAACGGGGTGGGGCTAGCTAGTGAAGCTCCATCTGTGTTTATAGCCACTCCCCATGGCTCACATCACTGCCTGAGATCTGTCCGACTCCCCCCACCCCCTGTGGAAAATTGTCTTCCGTGAAACTGCTAAAAAAGTTGGGGACCACTGCCATAGAGAACATTAATTATTCATGGAAGGAGGTCAAAATATCAACATGAACAGGAATTTGGAGGAAGTTGATTCTAATCCTTTTGAATGACTTGAATGGGTTCCAGACTTCAGTGGAGTAAGGAACTGCAGATGTGGTAGAAATAGCAAGAGAACTAGAATTAGAAGTAGAGCCTGAAGATGGGATTGAATTGCTGCAATCTCATGATAAAACTTGAATGGGTGAGGCATTGCTTCTTATGGATGAGCAAAGAAAATGGTTTCTTGAGATAGGGTCTTCTTCTCCTAGTGAAGATGCTGTGAACATTGTTCAAATGATAACAAAGGATTTAGAATAGTACGTAAACTAAGCTGATAAAGCAGTGGCAGGGTTTGAAAGGATTGACTGTAATTTTGAAAGAAGTTCTACTATGGATAAAATCCTACCAAACTGCATCACATTCTCCAGGGAAATCTTTTGTGAAAGGAAGAGTCAGTGGATGTGGCAAACTTTGTCGTTGTCTTATTTTACAAAATTGCCGCAGGCATGCCAACCTTTAGTTACCACTACTCTGGTCAGTCAGCAGCCATCATCATCCAGGCAAGACCTTCCACCAGTGCAAAGTTTGTGACTCACAGATGTTTCAGATGATCGTTAGCATTTATTTTATTTTTTTTGCAATAATATAGTTTTTAATTAAGATTATGTATATATTTTAGAGATAATGCTACTGCACACTTGATA